CACGCACACGCACACGCACACGCACACGCACACGCACACGCACACGCACACGCACACGCACACGCACACGCACACGCACACGCACACGCACACGCACACGCACACGCACACGCACACGCACACGCACACGCACACGCACACACGCACACGCACACGCACCCGCACACGCACACGCACACGCACACGCACACGCACACGCACACGCACACGCACACGCACACGCACACGCACACGCACACGCACACGCACACGCACACGCACACGCACACGCACACGCACACGCCCGCCCGCCCGCCCGCCCACCCACCCACCCACCCACCCACCCTAGCGCTGGACACCGTCTTGGCGTGTAGATCAATCAGGCCGCCATGGAGCAGGTAAAAACGAAACACGATCCGCATCAGCTGTGAGCGAAAGGTACCGGGCATGTAGGCGTAAGGGTAGCTGTACTGCTTCGGGAAGAGGTGGTAGCGGTGGACACAGTGTGGCGGCCTGGAGAGGTCGCAATACAAGATGCCCAGGAAGTAGTTCAAGAAGTCGCAGTAATTCAGGAAGTAGCCGCCGTCCAGGAAGTTGCCGAAAGAGGTCGCGGAAGAAGCCAAAGAGGTCGCAGCACACGAGGTCGAGGAAGTCGCCGGAGAGGTCGCAGTACAAGAAGCCCAGGAAGTAGCCAGAGAAGTCGCTATACAAGATGCCCAGGATGCAGTTGAAGAAGTTGCCGCGCACGAAGGTCAGGAAGTAGCCACAAAATGCCGTACCGTCCAGGAAGTTGCCGAAGAGGTCGCGGTACAAGAAGTCCAGGAAGTAGCCGGAGAGGTCGCGGGATGGTCAGGAAGAGGCCAACGAGGTGGCAATACAAGAGGTCGAGCAAGTCGCGGAAGAGGTCGCGGCAAATACAAGAGGAAGTGGCTGGAGTACGAGGCGAAGAAGTCGCCGTACGCGAAGTTCGCGAAGTAGCCAAGGAGGTCGCAGCACACGAGGTTGAGGAAGTAGTTGAAGAAGTCGCCGTACACCAAGTTCAGGAAGTAGCTGCCTCCAGGAAGTTGTCGGAGACGTCGCCACACAACAAGTCCATGAAGTAGCCGCTATCCAGGAAGTTGGCGAAGACGTCGCGCAAGAAGCCAAAGAGGTCGCAGCGCAAGAGATCGAGGAAGTCGTCGAAGAGGTCGCGGAAGAAGCCAAAGAGGTCGCAGCAGAAGAGGTCGAGGAAGTCGCCGGAGAGGTCGCAGTACAAGAAGCCCAGGAAGTAGGCAGAGAAGTCGCAATACAAGATGCCCAGAAAGCAGTTGAAGAAGTTGCCGCGGACAAAGGTCGCAGGAAGTAGCCAGAGAAATGCCGCACCGTCCAGGAAGTTGCCGAAGAGGTCGCGGTACAAGAAGTCCAGGAAGTAGCCGAAGAGGTCGCGGTACAGGATGGTCAGGCAGTAGCTGAAGAAGTTGCCACGCACGAAGGTCAGGGAAGCAGTTGAAGAAGTTGCCGTGCACAAAGGTCGCAGGAAGTAGCCAGAGAAATACCGTACCGTCCAGGAAGCTGCCGAAGAGGTCGCGGTACAAGAAGCCCAGGAAGCGCCGAAGAGGTCGCGGGGATCAATGGCTGAAATGGCGCCAGCTTGGTTCAGGGACTCCAAGATGAGGGCCATCAGTTTTGTGGAGCTCTGGGTCATCTGATAGTAGAGAGCAATCTTGCGCGAGAGCATTGCTGGGCTACGTACTTCTGAAGCGTAGCAACTCGCAATCTCTCACTTGCCGACGAAGTATCCGGTCGAGTATTGGCCGCCGGTGGAGCGGAAGGAGTCGAAGGAACCGAAGGACCTAAGTAAGAGGCCTGCGTCAGGGCGCCTCATCAGGGGCCGTCGCATGTAAGTCTGACTAAAAGGGGTATGGGGGCAGGGGTCTGGCGAAACATCTGCACAAAAAGTCAGTTGAAAACGGTGCTTGGGGTGCTTCTTTTAATTTGCAATCCGGTGAAGGTCAAAGTCAGTAGAAAAGTTCAGCGGTAGTGGTCGGTAATGGTCAGAAGAAAAGGTCCGTGCATGAGGCAAATCGAATGCCCCGAAAGGTTCACGACACTGGCCGTGGCTCGGAAGCAGTGCCGGAACACACTTGATGGAAGACATCGAAACTGCGAAGGCGAAACGTAGGAAGACACACGCACGGAATCATGTTGGAGTTTCGACATGGCTCACTCAGGTCGTCTTTCCCGACAGGGGGCATCCTCTTCAACGGAGTGCCAACTCCCAGCTGTCAGCACTTCACGCCGTTGTTCCCCATGATGGCACCCGAAAGCAATCAAAAGCAAAAAGGCGAAGGACCCCTTAGGAACAGGGTGCACACACTCACACACGCACATACAAGCGAGCACGTCCCGCCTGATGCAATGCGACTTAGGATACATCTGGAGGACAGCGCTAGTCAGAGGAGCCACCCTTGATCAGCACGGACCAGATTCATCCGAAGTTAAAATGAGAACAATGTTCGTATTTGGGGAGGGGTCCTAAAATTGAGGAGCCTTTAATGTATACGACGCACCATTGGATGCATTTGTTCAGGAGCTCGGATACCTGACCTGCTTCCACCTGCAAATATTCTTCTACAACTTGCTGGAAGGAATCTCAAAGGGGGGTGCCTTAAAAGGAGCTTCCTCTACAAATGTTTTTTTGGTCCCATGTTTTTCTGTAGGGTATATCCACACTTTCCGGGCCGCGTGTGAAGCAACTCAGCATCACCCGAAGTCATTGCTGGCGGAACCCGATTGGTTTTGACAGCAACCATCGGGAGCCAACTCAACTCTGCGGATCCTTTCTTGAGTCTATTGAGTTTCGTAGAAGGTAGGTCGAGGGCATGCACAAAAAAAAGGCTTCAGTTTTTGGGCTCGAATCGCAGTTTCGGTTGGGAAATAGTTTGGCTCCCCGTCAATCCTGAAAAATTTGGCGGGATTGCCTCGTTCTGTGAGGAACCCCCCTTGGAACATCGGCAGTCGGCACTGATCAGCTTCGTCAGGGTCGAGTAAGCGCGTTTTCACGCTAAGACCTCAGCTACCGCAGTGCCCATAGAGATCGCCCAGCCCACGAAATTCTGAGGTCCAAACTAAGCCGGGGGAACATTGAGTGACCTCAGCTCGGGTCTGTGGGTTCTCAGAGCCACTGCATTGGCTTTTGGTGAAGTTCAGGACAAATATCGGTTCGTGACACCTTGGCAAATGGATCCAACAACTTAAACCTAGCCACACCCATTTCAGTCATAGGTTTCAATATACCATGTATGTAAAGCCATACATGTTTTACAAGCTTGCATGCCGTGGCATGTAAGGCTCTAAACTTCCTAAGCCCGTACCTGAGCACCAGCCATGAAGAAGCGCATCATCCCACTTCGGAGTATGGCCATTTGGTAGCGGATCTTTGGTTGAAACGGATGTTCCTTGGGACCCATTTCTGCAGCTGACCTGAAGCCTGAGCAATGGTGGCCCTGGTCAGTGGCACAATGGCAGCATTGTCCCAAGTTGTCGCGGCTAGCGTACAAGACACCCATTGACCAAACGGGGACCCACAAGAAAAGTCAAGCACTTTTTGCAGAGGGGTCTCAAAGCGAATCGAGCAAAACCGTTTGGTTTCCCTGAGTTGGCAACCATTTTAGTCATGGCCCCCAAAAAGGTGACTTGGGTCTTCGGCCACGTTAAGTTGTTGGCAAACTTGGTTATGACTCACTTGGACAAGTTCCTAAGTGGTCAACCTTGTTTTTAGAGGATTACACCCCAAGTGCCTAATCACTTGCTACCTTGGCCGAACCCAAGTAACCTTTTCCTGCTCAGCTGCAAGCTCCTTGGGGCCTTGGGGCGTAATGCGCATCGAAGCTGTTTTCCAGACGAAGAACTCACTCAACCCAGAGGCTGCTGGGGCTTATGGAAGACCCGACCCCTCCATGAGACACCCCGGAGGTGGTTGGGGGTCTCAAAACCAGGTTGTTTGAAGGCCTAAATCAATTGGGAGCCTTTGGGAAGTGAGATATGAAGTCGGGAACTCGGATTTCTCCACACAAGCCGTTTGCTCCTTGCGACCGGTGGCTCCTTTGGCCTATTTTTGCCGATGCGTCTTGCCCTAATGCAAAAAGTCAGTTCTGCTGGGGTTTTGGCGGGGGGAGTTTTCGAGCCATACCCTTGCAAGGGAACCTCCAACAGCATCCAACGGTGGCTTTCTCACTTCAATGAAAGCCACTAGCAACTTGCAACCGAAACAAGTTGAAATCCAGTGACCCCCCTGACGCTTACCCGGCCACTGAACCCCATGCCAGGTCTGGTCAGTCGAGGAGGCAAGACGGCAGGAGCCGAGAAGCCAATCATGTTGAGGGGCCGACTTCAATCGGGCAGCGTTTTGATCGGATGAAAAGGCTTGCTTGACCTCCATTGGCTGAAATGATCTGAAATGAATATGTTTTTGTTTCCCCCTGTTGGATTGAAAAGGGGATCTATCACTACTGGACATATTATATGTTTTTTTCCAGGGGTCTTAACCAAATGGAAGTTGAGGGTTGATCAAAAGGTCCGTTATACATGGGATGACCAGTGGTTGCGGAAAACCACAAAGATGAGATTTCCATCTGCTACATGGGAAAAGCAACGCGTGGCATGTTGATCAGCCCCCCCCTCTTGGATGTTCAACCCACTTGGCAAGTAGAGGATTACCATGGTTTTAAGTAGGGTACCAGGGGGTTGGTTCCCTTGTATCCATGGTCATAGCCTGCTTGCTAAGTGGGTTGACTCTCCCAGAAACCTCCATCTCTTGCTGGCGGACAAGTCGCGGGGGTGAGACGTGCGGGAAGCTTCTTGAATCCACAGGCATGAGGCACAGGGCAAAGCTCGCACCACAGCGCCTCGGCGGCCCCATGGCAAGCGAGCCAAGAGACAGCCTCTGCAAGGCCGAGAAATCGAACTTCCACATGGCCGAAAAGTCGGAATGCTGGCCCACAGCTAGGCAGGTGCTCCCTACATAGCTTTAGGAGCTATTTACCCACAAAGCGTGAACATCCTTGATCATTGACACGTCCAAAGACACAACGCGCTCCCGACCATCCAGCTGAGAAAGACGCACATGAACTAGCCTGGGCACCACAAGCACGTCAAGCAAGTCAAAGCAGAGGCCTCAGTCGGCAAAGAGGCGGCACAAACGGGACGGCCACCTCAAAACGAAGAACCGCTCGAGAATGCAGAGCTTGTTGCTCGCAGCCGTGATCCAACGGCTCTGGGGAGGGGGATGTGCGGGGCAGTTTCGACTGGGCTGATTGTCGCCACGTAGGCAAGCCTGGGATGATACATCATAAATTTGTTCATGTCTGAATTGGCTTAATGTTTTGCAGTGGTTGAGGCTACACAGGGGAGAGTGGCTACAATGGTCCAATGAGCTTTGCGTCACGGGTAGGCTGCCGGCTCCTGTGCTCGGAACTTGGGGCCTTCAATCCGCGTAGGCTCTACTTAGACACCCGCGTAGGCACCCGTGGCCCATGTCATAAAGCTGTCCCGTTCCGGGAAGGGCAGCTGCTCATGAGAAGCTTCCCGTTTCAGTCAGCTGCCACGTGGTGCACTTCGACTACAAAAACACTTGCAGTGAAAAGTTGCGATTTTGATACCGGAGCTGTCGAAGTATACCTGAAAAGCCCCAAGTCTGGGCAATGCAGAACTTTGCACAGTTACACAGCTCCAAACGAACATGCAAAATCGAGGCACCGCTTGCAGTCGCGGAGGCTTTGCGTAGGCACTTGACTGCCCAATTAGGGGCCGACGGGGCCTCAACTGTGAACACGAGTTCCTGTGTGGAAGTTTACTCAGTTGGGTATGCCGCTCTTACCATCACAGCTTTTGAAGGCTGAAGACCAAAGATCCCGCAAACGGGCGTTTCCTTACAGGATCCCCTTCTGGCTCGGGTTGAAAAAGGGGAACCGAACGCCGACACTTTGGGCGGTCCGATTCCTAAAGAAAGCCGCGCCCAAGTGGAAAGGGAGTTGTCTTCACGCGCCCTCTCTCTGTCAGGAGGCAGCCGCGTCGCCGTCCCACTTCTCGCAGAAGTCCTACCAGCCCATCACCATCCCCATGACGGCGGGCGGAAATCAGGAAGTTCCACGTCCTTTCCATTCTTGTGATTGGTCGGATAGCTGGCCCTGGTTGGTCTGATTTTTCCTATTTTTCTATTCTTTCCATGTCACCCCTCCAGAAGGATCATTGGGAGGCCACTTCGAAGGCTTGCTGGTTGAAATGGCAGTCAAAACCAATGGGATCCCAGTTTGGGGTAGGTGCACCACCCGTTTTAGTCTATTTTAGTGGGATTGGGATGTTTACTGGGGGTACGGGATTTTGACCCATGGCCAAATGGTTCCTGTTGCTTCGGCGGAATGATTTTTTTCTCCCCGTGACTCGCTCACTCCGTGAGCTCAGAAGTTGCCCCTCCGTTGGGAGGGGGGGGACAAGCTACAAACTACAAACTCTTTTGCCAGGTTTCGTCATCATTTTAGCCCGAAACAAGCAATTCGAGAGCCCAGTCTTGCCCAAAGCGAAGCGATTTAGTCATTTGGGTTTGCCGAGTCTGGCTCATATATTTAGTAAACAGTCTCCCCACGACTTTGCGAAGCCGTGTGGGGCGCGGGGGAATTGCCATTATCATTATGTTTTGTGTCGAACAAGTCCATAGTTCTCCTCCTTGTAATTTGTTGCGGTACGGAACTCTCAGACACCTCCAAGGGAGAGTCCAATGATGCTTTACAGCAACGCAAAAGCGTCACTCCACAAACTAACATGCTACCCAAGACACCATGCATATACGGTTTCAAGAGAAACTCCAGTTTGGGGTGCCCCCATTTGGATGTGTGCTTACGTAGGGGATTTCCCCGCCAGACCAGTGGTTTTCCTTTTGGCTTCCCGAAGCACCAAAGAGGGGCCCCTCAAATGATTTGGTCGTGGCTTCCCGGATTCCCAGCGTCGAACTTTGTTTTGACCTTTTGGTTGAAGCCCTTTGTCATGGCCCGTTTCTGGTCACCCCGAAAGGCGTTGGGGACACTTCCATTTCCATTCTGAACCCAGGAATCCGAATTTCTTTCCAGAAAACCATCCGAACCCCAGGTTGGAAACAGATCCGGTGTGTGAAAAGAACGACGGTTGAAAAGCATGGGGAAAAGGAAAATCAAGCCCTCGAGAAGCACCCTAAATAAGCTGGTTTCCTGCAGACACCCAACCCTTTGAATCTTAAGGAGGGCATAGAAAAAGGCCAGGGCAATTCCATCAACCGCCATAGAAAAAGCTCACTTTGGATTTCTGGGCGCAGAACCAACGGACTTTGCGGTGATTTTCGATGCCAGGCCTCCCAAGGCTCGCTGTATCCGGGCACGGGCTCGGTGAACGTGCCCCAGCCCATCATGACGGCCTCGCCCCGAAGGCTGGGACGGACTCTCCGCGCGGATCGGAGTTGAAGCGAGTCTCTGGGTCAGGACCATCCCTAGGAAGTCTTTGTTTATTATTCCCTCTTAAAAACACAAAACTTTTCTCAACTTTTTGGGTAACATGGGCTATATGTCTGTAAAAGATTAGCTTCCCCAGGGCTTGGAGTGTTAAGGGGTAAGTATGTGGAGGTTCAACCTGCATAGGTCACAACCACTGTTCTATTCCGGGTTGCCAAGTTGGGTAAGAACTTTGGTTTCCTTACCAGGCGAAATCACCCACTTTCCTTGGATCGGAATCGACGCCTTGGACTCTGAAGTATGGAAGGTACGCGGACCTTCTGGAGTGCGGTATCGAGCCCGAAAGAGCTGCGAAAACGGGATTTTGTGTGCGACAAATTAGGGCTTCATGAGTTGGGTGAGTTTGATTTTGAGGGCAACCTTTCTAGTTGGTTTTGAGGGTCCCGACAACCCCATTTCAATGAAGTTGACGGCACCACTTGCTTGCTCCTTCAGAAGTTGGCTCGTGCTCAACATGAGCACTCTTTTTTCGGGCAACGATCAACATGAGCACTTGAAGGACAACAGCCCAAGTTACGCCTCAAGGAACCCGTACTTCGATTCAGATCCCTGGGGTTCCGAATCCCACAAAGCGCCTTCGGACCAACCGCAGCCGCGTGGCCTGTTTACAGTGGTCCGTTTTGCCACCGTCAAGATCCCGAATGCCGTTGGATCTATTGGCCAAACCTACAATTTGAAGCCTCTGGGAAAGCCAAGAATGTGTTGTTTCAGCCCTGAAAACTTCACAGAAAGACCCGACTGCAGCTCCAGAACCTTCCCATCACACGTGAAGGGGCCGTCTTGAAATGAATGAGCTATTTCGATTGGAAGCACCTGCATCGTCCGTTCGAAAGCGGCCGGCGTCTTTTTTCATGGCCTCAAAAGGTGGGGTTGGGCGAAATGTGTTTAACCAATGAGGCCCTGGTCCCCTTTTAAAAAGAAATTGAGAGGAGGTTGTTTAAACAATGGCTCATGGAAACCAACAGGATCTGGGTGTGCCTTTTTTAGGGGACCCCCAAATTCGTGCCTAAAAAAAGGGAAACACACTTGTTCTTTCGGTCAAAAGGCGTGTTTGGCCCGTTTTTACCCGTAAGGTTGTTGTTGTTTTTTTCCCGGTCATTTATTTGCCCGTATTTGGCCGTATAAAGCCCGTATTTTGTCGGCAACATATTGAAAAAAACCGAAAAAACACGTTATTTGGCTGTATGATCCTGTCGAGCAAAGCCTTTTGACCAAAGAACAGCAGGCTTTTGGTGCTCCAGGTGGTGTTCCTTTTGGTTGTCCTTTTGACACCACAAAGGGTACTGTTAGTGGGAGGGAGGGTACCCCTCAAAAAACGAGACCGATTTGTTGGTTCCAACTGGTCAACTCCGATTCGCCAGATCCCCCTCGCTGCCGACGCCCATCTCTCCGCACTCCGCCATGTCGGGGGCGGCCGGGTCGGTGGGACAACCGCAAGGCGGGCTGGGAAGCCTGGGTAACTCCTCCCTTTGTTGCTTTTTGCGTGGATGTTAGGACTTTAACTTTTTGCCAACTAATGAAACGTTTTTCCGTATTGAGCCACAACAAGTTAAACTTTTTGCAGGGGAGCAGAAAGCAAACGAGCTCCCTTACCCAGAAACTGGCGCATGCACAAGATTTGCCGGGGGGGGGGGGGGGGACAGCAGGTTTCTTTTCATGGGTCACGAGGAGGTCCTTGTGAGAGGAGAGGTTCTTACGCTTCCCTTGTTGGGAGGATCAAACACTGAAATGTCCTGTCGCATGGGTTCAAAGCCAATGCTCCTTGGCAGGCAAAGCATATATTGAGATCAACGGCCAGCTGTGCATGCAAACGTCAATTGCACCACAAGCCAATTGCAGATGGCAAATGGTCCTACCAGTTTGGACTTTGCACGTTGCCTTTCCTGGCCCTTCCTCTTCTTGGAAGGTTTGGCCTATAGCTGCGGGGTTATCAGGGATGGCCCCCGAGACCCTCCCTCATGTCTCTGTGGCGGCTTGTGTCACACCTATGTTTTTGCGTGGGAAAAAGGGGTCAACAGACCTATGGGCTTCTAAGTCTTGGTCCCCTTAGATGTTTAACTGTGGGTGTTTTTTGTTGAGGGTACCTGTTTTATTTTTTGTTGTGTGGTTTTGAACAGAAACGGAAAACCCACCATTTTATGAAGATCCCCCCAAAAAAGGACACCGAACCAAACAGGGGATATTGTACATATATGTATATACACATACACACACAATATTATGAATATATATATATATATATATATTGTATATATATATATATATGTACCATCCGACGTCCAAGTAGGCAAGGGACTCGCCCTTCGATTGGGACCCGCAAATCCAGAGAAGTCGTCACCCGATGCAGACCCCTTGTTTCAGGGTGGGATCGATCAAGGGGTTTGCACTTCTGTGATACAAGTGAATCTATTCCTTATGGCGGGGGGGGGGGGGAGTTTTTGGGATTTGGGAGGTCCTTTCCCAGAAGTTGTTGTCTCTTCTTCTTCTTTTTTTTTGGGGGGGGGGGTAGTTTTGGGGAGGTATCACAGAAGTGGATTCCGTTTCCCACAGCCCTGCCTTGTTTGGATCCGATGGAGACCTTTTCCAGCGAGAGCTGGCCTTGAAGGCAACCCCAAGTGGGCGGTTGCGCGTTAAAAAGGAAGCCAAAGAGATGATGCAGAAGCTAGGTCCCCCGGCTAGGTGCCCTTTCTCACACGTTTCTTTTTTGGTTAGCAGGTTCCCCTGCTAAAATAGACGTCCCGAAAAACAGGAAAAAAACATCGGTACCCTGATTCTAACCTCTCTACAAGGGGACCTAGGAAATGCGGCTAGATGCCTTCAAAGGGAATGCCGATGGAAGTCGTTTGAACAACTTAGTTTGGTTTGCACTCCCATCCACAATCATGGATCTCACAAACGAGGGCCTTTTCAGAGGAAGATGACTTTCCAGGCTCCAAACAATGATGGGAGAGGAATACCGCGCGTCAGTGTGGTGGTCTAGACTCTGCTTCAGATAAGGGGTAGGATGATTCTCTTAGCATGGCTTAGCTTGTCTTTAACGTATTAACGTGCCCCACAAATCCCGTTGGGATCACCGAAGCGGTTGGGATCACCGGTGTGCTCTTGAGTGTTTCCCGCTTTTGTTGGGAAACACGTTTTTGGGAGGTCCCCCTTGGACACATACCCTGGTGTTGTTTGTGTACTTTGGACGGCTTTCTTCGCCCGGGAGACCAGAACGAGAGCAAAGGCTACAATCTTATAAGGAAGACTGAATTAAGATGTGGGTTTGGCTCAAAATCAAACAGGAGGGGTTACGCAGGTGTTGGTCCATGTTTCCACTTACCAGGGTTCCATTTTGGTACCGGTTGTTTGAGCCACAGCCATGTGGTCTAAGCACCAGACCTTTCCATGATGCCATTCACAGGGAACTGTCATAAGGATGTGCCCTGATCATGACGAAAAGAAGTGATTGCGGAGGAAGGGGAATGACCCCGTTGCTGTCCTATAGCCTTGAATCTCAGTCTTCAAGGCATTCAAAGACAAACCTTGGGCTTCCTCCTACCCAAGGTGTCCATCCATTCGGGGACCTTTGGTTTCCTCCCTACTGGGTTAATCAGGATCAACTCCTGACTCGTTTTGCTCAGGGGGTGCAACCATCCAAGTCACTTGCGAGGAGTTGCACCCGCCTTTTGTTTTACTAGCAAGCAAATTTTGGCTGAAAATTGTGGGGGTGTCTAAAGAACGAGGGATCTAACACTTCCATTTGGTTAAGTTGTTTTTTCCTGTTGGTTTCAAAGGGAATCTATCACTACTGGAAGTATTTTATTTTTTTCAGGGCACTTAAGCATTGGCTTCGACGTTTCTTCGGTTTCCTTTAAGGCCGGCCCGACGTAGCGCGCGACTGGAGGCCAGCCGGCTTCCGGGCACTTCGCGCCACACAGCGGGCACTTCGGGCCGGTCATCAGCATGTCAGGACCGGCTTCGCGTTGCGGACGGCTTTGGCGCAGTTCCTGCGCATTCTGCCAAGGGATGTTAGGACTTCAACTTTTTGCCCACTCATGGGTTTTCCGTATTAAACCACTAAAAGTTAAGCTTTTAGCAGGGGAGCAGAAAGCAACGGAGGTTCGGAGAGTGTGCGTCGGTCATTGTAGTATGCTTGCAGCACTGGAATGTGTGTCCACTCGAGAGTCCCTCTGTGTGCGCCTGTGTGTGTGTGTCTCTTTAAGCCATGGTTAGCGGTTTAGGGCGAAATCAAAAGGACACTTGCCATTTTGGGTCGTCCTTTTGACACCATACAATTTGCCGTCCTCCTGGCAGAAAAATGGGGACCCACAAGCCCAGCGGTGTTTTCTGTGTGTTCTTTCTTGTTTTTTGGGAGTGGGTCCGCAAACAAACCAGCAAACCGCCTCAAATCAATTCTGCACCCTTCTGGAAACTCGCCGAGCCTCTTGTCACGGCCTTTCTGATGAAAATGGAGGCACGGTACCAGTGGAAGTCAGAGACCCCACCCTAAATCTCAGGGAAGAAGTGGTGCATTTGCAGATGAGCTTCATCTGGATTTCCATGGAATTGCCGCCAGGACAATTCCAGCCCCACAGCATGAGGAGACGCGATGCAAGTGCTTGAGGGCCTGTGGGCTGAATTGCTTGCTAGCTTGCTCCAAAATGCTTGTTTGTTTTGTTGTTTTTGAACGAGCACATGAGTCAGTGAGTAAGCGCATTTCGGGAAGACTTCTTCCCCTATGCATGAAAAGGGGGGACCAAGAAAGGAGCACCTGGGGCTTACGGGAGGAGGGTCCAGCAGAGCAGCTCGTTGATTTTATCAGGGGGATTGCCTTCAACACACCCTTCGCCTTTCTGCCTCCACACAAGCGTGCCAATTAGACTCTTGGACCTATTTAGGATCCTAGTTTTTGGAGCACAAGGAGGATGCCCTGCGTAATGCTGGGTTTGGGGGTTTCCGGTGTTTGGGGAGATTGGTGAAGTTCTCTCCTTCCGAGCCAGCCCTGTTATGACCAAACCCCAAAAGTATAGAATGGTTCGCTTGTATGGTTCACTTGTACGTACGCCAACACCTATTGAAAGGCCATGAGCCCCTCGCAGAGCTTTAAGTGACAGGAGCCATCACCTCTCGGCAATGCCGCTGCCGGCGAACCTGCCACCGCAAGGGGCTGAGCGACAGACGACCCCACGGGCACTACCAGAGCGGGGCAAAAAGTGTGAAATGTTGAGTCTGGGCTTCGGGAAACCGAAAGGTGGTTCTTTAAGTACGTACTCATGGCTCTGACATTGTTTGCAAAACATGACCCTACAACCCGTGTGCCCTGGGCCTGTGGTTTTGCTGACCTAGGTACGTCACTATGCGATGACGGAAGGATCTCTGAGCCCGGGGCAAGGCTATGTGGAACCCTGCAGCGGTCTACGGTCAAGGATAACAGCTATGTGATTTTAGTTTCCGTGTCCCGACCATCTTTATCCCGTCAAAACAGCCAGCAACCTTAAACGTACCCAACCCGGTATGGAAATTCATCCCTGGAGAAGACTTCTGGGGATGACGCAATGGTGCCATGGACCCCCCCCCACTGACCGCTGCCCGAGGGTTCCCTGAGCGCAAGAGATCGGCCATTGACAGATCTGCCAACATGGATGGCCAATTTGGATCAAAGGATTTCTTTCCGGGTTTGGACATCTCACAGGAATCACAGCCGTTTGTACAACTTGGAACAAAGCAACCATATCAGATGCAAGTGGTCGCAGCTCATGTACACTTGGCAGGCATAGTTTTGACCTCCTCGCCGCGCTTCTGGATCGCGGTGTAGGGGTCTGGTAGTGACTTGTTACACAATTCAATGGGCCAATGAACCCGTCATGACAATGTCAAGGCGTGCCAATGACAAAGCAGCTGCCCTGCTGTGATTTGACTCCGCTTCAGGTTCTTGCAAGGTAGAATGCATTCTGAGAGGACCCGAGCTAGTAGCCCTTGTACATATATCCATCAATCTAGCAAAGTTGCACTCTGATATGTATGAATATCCACTATGTGCCTTGTAATTTATTTATATATGCATATGTATACACATGCACTACATATATATATATATATACATGTGTATGCACACGTGCACACGTGGGAGGGGTCCACTACACCATTCAAATCACCACTCAATCCCCTCTTTGGAGTGGATTTTCTGGCTTGGGGCTAGTCTGAACCCCTGGTTCTTTTAGGGGCTAAATGGGAACCCACTCCCGGAGCCCCGCCAAACCACCAATCCAAACAATCCATCAATCAGCGGGAAGCTGATACTTTGAGCTTTCTGATTCTGGTTTGGTTTTCTGGCTTGGCTTGGCTTGATGTTGTTTGGTCAGCTTGCCGATGCCAAGCTCGGACTATTTTTTTTTGAGAGGGAGGCAACACCGCATGGTTGGAGAACTCCGCATATGCCCCATGCCCTTTTCGGTCCCTATAAATTATATATCTTCACTCTCCGCCTTCCGAGTTGGCTCAATCACACAACAAAAGCCGCGCGCCCGGCACGGAGCTCTCACAGCCGCAACCGCCAGAGACCGCAACGCTTTCGCGCGCAATTCTTGGGTCCGTCGCATGGTCGAGCGGAAGCTCCGGCTGGCGCTGAGCTGAGGAGCTGAGGCAAGCGAAAGGGCCTTTGAGGGGCGCCGAAGAACCTTGGAGATTCATCCCTTCAGGAAGGCTCGTGTTAGTTGTGGTGGCATTGGGGTTGGAGTTGGGCTGGGGTTGGGTTCATTTGGGGTGGTTGTGGTTGAGTTGTGGTGGAATTGGGGTTTTGGCGATCCTCATGTGAATCGTGAAGCCGTTTTGGCTTCGCATTCGGTGGTTTCGTCCTGAAGTCCTTCATGTTGGTTCTCTGACAGTCGTTTGGTACGCATTGCATAGCCCTCTAGGGTTGATCCACAAGTATCCAAACCCCACGCTTGAGAGAAGGTTCGAGAGGCGGTGTCGAAGATCTCCATGTCGGCGGAGCTCCACCTGAACCCCAAACCCTTCGTAGCGATGTTTTTTTTTACAGGGACGATGGTGAGCGTTTCTCTTGCGCGCCTTCCCGAGGTTTTGGTTCCCAGGTAGCGGTCAAATCTGAAAGGCTTTGGCCATGTGAGCTGTCAACTTGGGCAACGTGGGCTGTGGCAAGTGCAAACTGACTCCGGGCAAGGAAGCCTTTGCATTTCTGGAAGATGCTAGAGGGCTATCTGGAGACACATCGCGTTTGAGTAGACCCTATCTCTTTTTTTTTGCGCTGGTATTGACGATGTGGGTTGGGCCTGTAAGGGTGGAAACGTGGTTTTTTGGGGGGTGAGGATGCTGCGCGGCACCGAAGGGGTTCCAAATCCCATCGAACTGCTGTCAAAGTTTTGGCATGGGGGTGAAATCCTGGTTTCAGCTAGGCGTCAAAACTGGCACATGTGGACGGTTAATATGTGCCATCATCTTCCGGCACACAAGCCCTGCAACCACTAGAACATGGTGTTTTTTTGTCAGCAAAAGTCAGTATCATTGAGGTGGAACCTGAGTATTGCCCGGAGATCATGCATGACACAGGGTACCAACACCATAACTGCGTATTCTCCCTGTTCGGAACCCTTTCGTTTCATTTCCGTCAGAGTTGGGTTGGGCATACCCAACGCAGAAGGGCAAACGCCCGAATTTCCCTCCGCCTAGCCATGCGGGGGTCAGTGGATTCGGATCAAGTCGAATTTCGCCTATCTAAAAATATTACGGTATGCTTTGGAGCTAAGTAAACGCGTGAAGTCTCCTTGGGTGATGGGGTCACGCTCATGGGTGGGCCTCGTTAGGCGAGTTTGGTTAGAACTGGATGGGTTCCGCTGGTTGAGATTGGTTTTATGCCCCCTTCGCCAGGGCAATATATTTTGCCAGAAGGTCACCTACGGTGGATGGCCGAAATTCATGTCGCACCACCCGAGAAACCCAACGGAATGATTCGATCCCCCAATGTAAATACCAACAAACGTGGATTCATTCCAATCTATGTCGGTGGCGCGAGACTCGCGGATTCGCTGGCATCTGCAGTATGTATGGTCGGCTGGTGCTTTGTTTTTAGAGGGTACCTGTTGAGTACCTATCTGTTGAAGAAAAACCAAAAGAAAAATCAAGAACAAGCCCATGGTTTCCAGAAGCCCATGGTTTCCCTTGAAGCCCCTGGTTTCCCTGGAAGCCCCTGGGTTTGCCATAGCAGCCATGGCCGTTTCAGGTGTCCTTTGGTGCCCCATGGCGGATGCTTTGAACACGAAGTTCTCCTTCCTCAGCTCCCATGGAGGCGCGCTCGGTCTTTGAGATCCGGGCGCTTTTTTTTGGTTGGTGCTTCCATTTGCTCAAGAGTCTATTAAACAAATAAAATAAAAAAATATGTTGGTTGTAAAAGAAGTTTATCACTACTGGACAAAAAAATACGGGGGTCTTCACCAAATGGAAGGGTGAGTCGTCGGATCTCTCCAAAAAACCGGAAAAAAAGGGGGGGGGGGGGTTGGGAGCCATTTTTTTGGTCATGGCCCCCAAAGGTTAACCGTTGATTTCGAGGTCCTGTGGGCAACTGAGTTTACTGGCGGTTTATCTTTGAACACAAAGAAAGGTGCCCTCAAACAGGAACACGACACCCCCCAACCCCCCGCAGCCCAAGGCCGATGTTCCCAAAGCATACAAAAAGGGGCGGTAAGAGTCTGAATCTCTCCAGTGCCCCTGCTTAGCTCTAATGGAGGACAGAAAGAACTTCTCAGATGCCAATTTTAGTCAACAAGGTCTCCCTAAAGTGGGTCATAAGGAAAACCCCCACACTGCGCCAGAATTGGGCCTTTGGTTTTCCTTTTTACGATCCAAAGAGGGGGGCCCTCAAGAAAGACAGGACCAAATGTGGACCAGTGATCTCATTCGTGGAAGCGAAGCTTAGGTCGGGCAGTCCACTTACGACAGAACTTGTCAGGCGCTTTCCTTCCGAAGATATGATGTAATCTTCTTGGAGACGGGAACCCAAGCTTGCCAACCAAAGGCCTCGAAATGCAAAATCACAACTTGGAGAAATGCGACCTCAGTTCCGCGCGCTACAAAAAGCACATTAGAGACGTTGCGTGAACCCGCATTGGTCAACGGGAATCAGCTCAAGCCATGCCTGGCGTTCCCTGTCACATGTCCAGACAAAGTTGTTTGGTGTTTCCTGAAACTTTAGCAGCGGCTTTCGTTGTCTGTTAAGTAACGGAAAAACACAAAATCCACTGTGAGAAGGGTTGGCTGGGCCCTGTGGTAACATCCCCTTCTTGCTTGCGACAGCATAGAGGAGACGGGGATCTTCCACGCGCGATCGTTTTCCAGGAAAAGGTTGGACTGGACTTTCCCTGGTTTGCAGCGGGAAAGGTCAACCAACTGTTTGTGTTGGCGTTCTGACTTCTTTGAAACCCGGGCCGAGTGTTAAAAGTCCCCGAAGTGTGTTGCCCATTTCAGCAGCACCCTGAGAATATGGCTCTCTTTGCCTTTGGTTGCTCGCTTCTTCTGGAACGCCCGCGCCTCTTTGTCCTTTGGAACTTCGCGAACTTTTCAAACCAGAAACTTTGAAACAACCACTTTTTGCTGGGGGGAAGACAGGCCCATGTGTGGGGTTGAGGGAGGGAGGGTGTGTGTGTGTGTGTGTGTGTGTGTGTGTGTGCGTGTGCGTGCGTGTGTGTGTGTGTGTGTGTGTGTGTGTGTGTGTGTGTGTGTGTGTGTGTGTGTGTGTGTGTGTGTGTGTGTGTGTGTGTTTGTTTGTGTGTGTGTGAATGTGTGTTCGTGTGGGTGTGTTCGCGTGGGTGTGTTCGCGTGGGTGTGTTTGCGTGTTTGTGTGTGTGTGTGCGTGTTGTGAATGCTTGAGTGCTGTGTATGGTGTGTGTGCTTGTGTTGGTGTGTTTGCTTGTTTATGTTGTGTTGTATGTTGCGACATTGTTTGTTGTTGTTTTTGTGTTTGTTTGTTTGCTTGCTTGCTTGTTTGCTTGCTTGCTTGCTTGCTTGCTCGGTTGGTTGCTCGGTTGGTTGCTTGGTTGCTTGGTTGGTTGGTTGCTTGGTTGGTTGGTTGGTTGGTTGGTTGGTTGTTAGGTGGGTTGGTGCTGCACTTGTCAGTTTAGTTTGGTTCTGTGTTGTGTTGTGTTTTCGGTGTTGTGCGTTTGTTTGTTTGCGTGATTGTTTGTTCCTTTATTTGTATATTCGTTTGTTTGGTTGTTTGTTCGTTTGTTTTAATTGCTTGCTTGTGTGATTGCTTACTTGTTTGTTTGCTTGCTTGCTTGCTTGTTAGCTCGCTTGGTTGTTCGTTTGTTCGCTTGTTTGTTTGCTTGTGTTTGTTTGCTGGCTTGGCGCCCGGCG